CATGACGCGTTCGGAAAACTCGAGAAAATCGATGAACTCGTAGGTGCTGGACGACCGATCGTACGATTACATACTCGAGAAAAAAAAAAAAATAGTGATTATAATATATTCATATTATTTTTATCTTACAAGTATATTGGAATATTTTTTAATATCGTAGCTTTCTTTTTATAAAGATTTTACCGTTAAATTTAAACGTAGAAAATATACTACTACTACTATATAAAAAGTAATAATAATATACAATTTTTGTTCTTACAGATAAATACAAAAATAATGAACAATCGTTGAGAATGCAAATATGTTAATAATGCTATCTAGAATATATAGAATATATATATATGATATTTGTATGATATTATTGGAATTATCGATTCGGTAGAAATTTCACGGGAAATTCAAACACACGTTCTTCTAATATACATATAGATCTGAAAATTTTGTGGAAAGATTTTCGCGTTAGGCACGAATAGGCAAGAGCTAGCGACGAAATTGACTGGTAGTTGGTTCGAACGGGAGACGTGAGTTTACCGAGTAATTTCGTGCGAACCGCGCAGTTCGGCATATCGTTCTGGTCCTCGTTACGCATGGTATACGCGCACGAGTACACACGCGCACGTGCGTGAATCTTGGATATGCATCGAAGACGACGACGACGACGACGACGACGATGACGATGAAGACGAAGACGAAGACGAAAATGGATCATTCGAAATCAAAATTGAGAATTGTGGACGATAATTAAGAAAGTGAGTTGAGACAAAAATCTAATCATCATTTAGATTATTTTTGCCAACTACGAAGATCAAAATTAATTAACGTGTTGGGATAGCGAACACATTTAATTAATATTACAAACTATCTCTATTTAAGGTTGGATGAGCTTAATTAATTTACGTGATCTCGTTGAATGTTCCTTAGTACGTTAAAATTACGTTAAAACAAAATTGATTTTGTTCTATTACCTCGAAAATTCATTGTAATTATCTTCCATTGATTAAGTTAACTGAAATCGATACGCGTTTCACGATACTTTTCTTATTATATTATACTTTATTGAAATGTTCTCTCTCATCTATATATGTTTTTTTAGTCAAAAAATTTTTCTATTTTTTTTTTTTTTTTTTACGGAATTATTATTTTTTACGGTAGTGAATGAATAAGAAAGTGAGATAATCGATAATAAGCGTAGTTCTCGATAATTGATAAAATGAGGTTAAGGTCAAATAGAAGGTAGAGATAATGATGGAACAAACTCAAAGGATTAGGGTGAGTAGAGGAAGACTAGAATAGAAGTGATAGCGGTAGAATAGCCTCGTTCAACCTTGCAATTTGCCAAGGTATGAATTCTGCATCGGGCATCCAAACGTTAGCAATGAGAATGGTAATGACCCTGTACGAAAGTGCTTTCTCTTTCTCTCTCTCTCTCTCTCTCTTTCTCTCTCTCTTTCTTTACCGAACGATAAATCGTCGGTGCAAAACGGTAGGCGTAATTTAATTCGGTTTATAACTTCAATAAAATCGCTGTTTCTCATTATGCCACGTTCATACTTCCAATCGCACAAATTTATCCTATGAATGAGAATTCATTCACGAGCTATTATCTTAAGGGAAAGAATTATCGAGGTTTTCGGTAGAGTTATCCATCTCGTTCAGTCTCGAGTTTTCCCTTTAAAATTTCACGTTATCCGAATTGTGCCTCATAATGATATAATTTTATCGCAATTATATTCGCGTTAAAGATAGTTGTCGAATTATATGAACAATGCATTTTCATTAAGTTTAATCATTCTCTAGAATAATGATAATAGTTTGAGATACATGTTGTCAACAGCAATCAACGTTGTTCTCTTATAATTAATGCTCACAGTTATATCATACTCTTGTCCTGGTTCATTTCACATTTCCGTTACTTAGAATCATAATTACACAATCTAGAAGGTTTATTATACTAAAATATTAAGAATGAAAATTTAAATCACACATTTCATATTATTAGGAACACATATAGATATATTCTTATAAACATTATTGCAATGAGAAAAAGAAATGCGTTGGAAGTATAGGAAAACTGCAAAATATAATATCCATATTTCGAAAAAGATTCTTGCCCGTCTGTAGTGCGTCCGACAGTTTACTCGTAACCCGTTACATGCTAGCTCATGCATAGGATACTTGCATTCGACGATAAAAGCACGAAGATGTCTCCTACGTAAACGTACGAATATACATACATACATACATACATACATATAAACAAGTATATATTATATATACCTATATGCATAGTACTCGAAACCCGTCCATTTACGTATCGTCACGGACAGGAAAGAAGAGGTTCGCTTTCGTTTCGGCGACGTGTCCCACGTGTATTCGCGTATTCCTAGTGAAACTCTCTATGCGAATATAATATTACGGGTATACGCATATCCACGTGTTTTAAATGTCATCTTAAAGAACGAACACGACGGTCCGTAAAAAGACCACGAGGCCCCCACTCTCTCTCTCTCTCTCTCTCTCTCAATAAAAATTTATTCGAAACTCGCGCGAGAACCTTTCCAAAGGATATCTTGGAAAAAATGCTGTTTCAATTTTTATATATTTTATACACGACGAGGGATAAATATTAGTATATAAGTAGTTGTAATGATCAATCTGAAAATGTTTTCGATATCATCGCGCTTAGGTATTCAATTTCTAATATCGCGCTATAGTGTATCTAAAAGTTCATTCTGTATAGTCCTAGTAACAAGTCAAACGATAAACTAACTATGAATTGAATAAAGTTTATATACATAGTGTTATAAATATACTTGTATACGTATAAAGTAATTCTCATTTAGCGATAAGTAGATTTATCTGTTTGTGATATAATTTTAATTTATTTCTTATCAATCATTTTTACATGTCACAGATTTATAAACGAGTAAGAAAAACCCAGTTGACTGTACGAACACAAAAATCGTAGGATTGTTCACCGCAGTAATCATTTTTCATTGATCTATCGTTTCTGTTCTGTCCTGGGGGATGATAAAAAAGCTTCGGCTCGATATTACGTGGCGTCACGCGAGCTGCGAATTATTATTTCTCTTACGACCAATCGTATTTATGTATACATACATTTGTTGAGTCGGTAAATCAACGAAAGAGAAATAAAGAAAGAAAGAAAGAAAAAAAAAAAAGAAAGAAATAAAACAAAAAAAAAAAAAAAAGGATTATATCAAGAAGGAGGGATGAACAACAGCGGTAGAAGCCACACACAGACATTGTAAACTTTTCAATAACTCTCTCACGTTCACCGCTCCTCTCCTCTACTCTCCTCCTCTCAGAAAACGAAATTTATTTTACCGTCGATTTCTACGCACGGTTTTTCGAGCCTTCCAACATTTCCTATCGCGTTCGCATAAATAAGAAGAAGTAGAAGAAAGAAAAGCTCGCAAGGTGTTACGTTCCGAAATTCGTTGATCTAATCGGTTCGTTGGGTTGCTGCGTTGCGAGGAGAGAAAGAGAGAGAGAGAGAGAGAATTTTTCGAACGAGCTGAGCTGCGGCAAGCTCGACTTTCTAAAAAGAGAGAGAGAGATAGATAAAAAAGGTAGAAAGTATAGTGCGCGGGCGCACTCGACGAAGGGATGGAAGGAAGGAAGGAAGGAAGGAAGGAAGGAAGGAAGAAAAAAAAAGGAAAAAAAAGAAATAGAGAAAGAAGAAGAAGAAGAAGAAGCTGGATAGGTAAAAAAAAAAAAAAAAGAAAAAGAAAAAAATATAGGAAAAGATGGAAGAGAGTGAGAGAGGGGTAGGGGTTAGGGAGGGAGGGGTAGGGGGATGATTTTCGTTGCGTAAAAGAGGAATACAGCGCGTAGATGTATATATAAGAGGTGGTAGGAGGGGGATGACGGGGAGAATAGAGCGAGGGTTGGAGGGTGGTGGTCGTCTATATTTTATATCCGGTGTGTAGTAGAAACGCGTCGTCAGGGCGCAGACTCGAGGTAATCGGGGTCGGCCGGCTCTCTCGGCAGTTACTTGTCGCGATCCACCGTGGCCGCTCCACCGTGGTCGCCGTCGCGAAAAATTTCACCGCGGGATTACAATAAACGCACGTATTTGCGTAATGTACTTGTATTTAACGTAAACTCATGTACATATACGGCGCACCTAATTATTAAGAAGTAAGAGAACAATTTTAATAAAAAAAAAAGAAAGAAAAGAGAGAGAGAAAGAGATAGGAGAGGGTTGGTAACCCCCTCTCCCCCCCATCCCCCCTTACTACTACTACTACTACTATTATTACTACTATTACTAGTACTACTACATCGTTGATATCGATAGGAGGAGGAGGAAGAGGAGGAGAAGGAGAAGAAGAAGGATATATAGAAGTTGGCGCAAAGCTGCAGGAAAAAGCACAGTAGCAGCTTGCGCACTGTTGCTCACCGCGCGCGTTTATCAAGCTCTCCATAAGTGGTGCGCGCGCGACCGTGTCAAAACTAACGCAGTTGAGAGACCCCTCGAGTGTCCAGTGTGTTTACGTCTCTTATTATCTATCGTGTTGTTCTTGATTATTATTATTGTCGTCATCGTCATCGTCATCGTCATTCTCATCATCATCATCATCATCATCTCGTTATTTATCGTCGTCGTCGTCGTCGTCAACGTCATCGTCCTCCTCGTGCTTTCTTTTATATTTTTGTCTTAGCGTCAGTTCTTTATCATTTTATTATAATTTACCTTTTTTTTTTAACGAGCAATTGGATAATACCACAGTTGGGTTAATTTAATTCTCGTGTTATACAGTTTGAAAGAAGAGATTTATTCGTTGATGAGAGAGTATCGGACTTAAAGTGGAAGAAAACATTAGCGATCAGCTGACGGTGAATAAAGGCAGAACAATTTGAAATGAAGTTACATTGATCTCGCGTTAAATTCGTGAATCCGATTGTCATCGTCGTTGTCATCGTCATCGTCATCGTTGTCGTCGTCGTCGTCGTCGTCGTCGTCGTCGTTGTTGTTGTTATCATCGTCATTCGTGTTTTTATATATTCGCGAATATATATATATAGGTATATATATTATATATTCATATATATCAGAGGATCGTGAAGGAAGAAGCTAGCTTCTCTTCGTCGGTTTCGTTTTTATTTCGTTTTGTGTGTCTCGAGCTTAGAGCTCGTTCGTGTTTCTTAGTGAACGCTCGTGCGGCAAAGTGACTTCCTCAAAGTGCACCGGCAACAAGGCGATACAGCCTCGCGAGATCATCGTCAGCATAAATGATAAACGAAGCGAAGGTATCGAGTTGAGGTAAGTGTCGTATACTTACACACACAGATATAAATACATGCATACTTTTCTATATAACTATATATGTATCTATATATATAGATATACATTTGTAGTATCTATCTATTGAACTTTTTACTAAGCATTTCCCTTTCGTTATAACCTATACGGAAACTCGGAGGATTTAATTAGAGAGACGGATCGCTGCGTTAATTGCGCCCCTCCAATCTTAGAAATCTCGAATTACCGAACACTCCTCCTCCAGTTTCTCTTCCTCCTCAACCACCTTCTCTTACTTATTTACACTCACCTATTTCCTTTTTTCTCCTCTCGTTTTACGCTCCTCTTACCAAAAGACGAGAGATAGTACCTACCTTGGGAGAAATTAAAGAGAATTATGCGGTTTACCGGAAGACCATTTTCCACCCTCTCCCTCCCTACCCCTTTTAACCTATCCTTTTCCTCCTCTTTCTCGTGACCTTTCCACGTTAGGACTACTACAAAGCAAAAATATATATATTTCGATGAATCTCACATAAAAGTGACAAATATAACTTTGTTTTGTAAAATGTGTTCAAGATGATTAACGTTTTACGTTCTTTTTTTTTTACGATACGCAACTTGTTTTCATCTTTGCTTTCTTTATTTTTCTTCTTTTCTTTTTTATAGGATCATCCATTCTCCTCCCTCTCTTTTTCTTTCCCTTTCTCGGGTTACATCGTCTCTTTACCATCTTCTTCGCTCGATACGCGTCGTATAATGTTTATTGCATCTTCTTCGTGGAATATTTAAAACGTTCCTCGTAGAAATACGCTCTTAGCAGAAAGCGTATATTCTAGAAATGAGAGATCGTTCGAAGTAAAGCTTTATCGGGTAAGAAGTTTTATATCGTTGAAACCGCGAAAGTCGAGTTGGCGTCACGATATCAACAGCGTGGAATAAAGGATATTGCCAATATCCTTGTAGAAAATAATAAAGCTCTATAAAGGTTTATCGCAGTACTCTGGTACTACCTCCCTCGTTTCTTGTCATATTCTTTTCGATTATCGTCAATGATCATCTAGCTCTTTCTATCGTTAACATTTTTATTTATAACCGATATTACTTTTCTTTCTAAAGCGATATCTAAAGAATTCGTTTTTTTTTTTCTTTTTTTTTTTTTAACTGTTAACCCCTGTTTAGTTTTTACTGACTTTTTAAGATTGTCTAAAGTATTGTTGTTTTTAAGAAGAAATGAAAAGTTACGTGTTTTACTCGTTTTTTTCTTTTTTTTTTTTTAACTGTTAACCCCTGTTTAGTTTTTACTGACTTTTTAAGATTGTCTAAAGTATTGTTGTTTTTAAGAAGAAATGAAAAGTTACGTGTTTTACTCGTTTTTTTCTTTTTTTTTTTTTCTAAATGTGTTAAATACATTAAAAGATAATATTTACGAGAGAGAGTTTATTTTCTTTTGTCTAACGTCGAAGCTCAGCGTTGATTTCAACAAGAATTTTAATAAAATTCCTCGAGACCAAGGATAGGAAAATAAAGAGATAGAAAGAGAGAGAGAGAGGGAATATTCGCTCGAAGGATGTTTGACTAATAGCCGTTATCGCATTAAAGGTATAAGAAGGAGCTTGCAATGAACGTACCGAAAGGAATTTTGTCGAAGGAGTTCGAGTTACTTTGTGCTTGGATTAGAAGTTCCTATGTAATGAAGAATACCATTTAATTGCGTAGAATCTTTTCTTTTTAAAGTCTTACGAATTCTATTGGTTATCTTATATTTTATATATATATATGTAAAAAAAATAGGTTTCATTTAGCAATATTGTTTCTTTCTACAGATCGTAAATAAATAAGATATATACATCGTTCCCTTAGCTAAAGATTTGTGATTTTTTTTGTCTTTCCTATTTTTAAAAGGATTTTCCCTAAAAGCTTACCACTGCTTTTGACGCTCAGGAAGCAGCGTTCCGTAAATAAACAAAAAAAGGAGCAAGCGTTTATATGGGGTTGGACAAAAACAAGTTGCCTCTCGAATTTCTCTTGAGTCTTCACACAAATCAGATCAGGTTTTTAACGATATAAATCTCTTCGTAGCCGCCTCGATCGTGAACGCCAGGTTCGAACGCTGCTCGACGTTGAACCAAAATCAATGCAGCAAAGCTCTCTTCGACCGCAACCGGAAAAAAAAATTCTATACCGTTTGCATCAGGTTATACGAAATACACTTTATACTTTAAACATCAAAGATAGTACATCTTTCAGCGATACGAGGATTACAGTCTTCCACTAACGCAAATGGTCACAATTTCGAACATCTGTTTTGCAATGTGAACAAATTTATTTTACTATTGCATTTGATTTTGAATGTAGGTCATCTCATTTAAAAAAAATTAAAATGTCATGGGAAATCTCTTCTACGTTTTTCAACTAATATAAGCAAAAGAAATAGGCATCGCAATATTATGCCCTTTTCTATGTCATGCACAAGTTCTGTAAAAAAAAAATATTTTTTATATATGTATATTTTTATTATTACAAATAACAGAGATATTTATGGTGGGCAGATTTATTGCTTCCACCCTCTATTTAGGTACCTACTTATTATATAAAATAGTTAAACTCAAATGTATGCCTATTGAATTTTAAGCTTGTTCAACACTGAGGTCTTGTATATATGTGTAAAAATCGATTGCAAACAATGAACGAATGTGTCTACAGAAGCTTATAACTTCATGTTCAGAAGTATACTATTGAGGCAACTTGTAAAACTATTTTACATCTTTGTTATTTTTTATTACAGTAGGAAATATAAAGGGAAACAGTTCGTTCGTTTTATGTCTTTCATCATGTATAAATATGTGTTTAGGTATATAGGCTATAAGCAGAATATAGGTATATCCCAGAATGCGGATCCAATGTAGGTATATAGACACTTACTCACATAGAAGAGGATTATCGTTGAGAGAATACCGGATAAATGTCCATTAATTATCCCGGACATCTAGGGAATTTGGAGAAACCTTGCTGTCGTTTTAGTAGAGAATACGTTACCATAGATTCGCGTACCGTGAATATCACCTAGATTGTAGAACACGATCAAGGAAACAAATTCTAGGTAAATGTAGTTTAAAGAAAAAAAAAAAGAAAAAAAAAGGAAAAAAAGAAACAGTGTCGAAACGCCACTACGTAAGATTTTAACGCGTGTAAAGGGAAACTAGGAAGTTAGAAAGTTTTTCTATTTTAAACTTACGATTTTAATGAAACTTTACCAAGGGTAATTCATTTTTAAAGGGTTGCAACAACAACAACAACTTTCCTGAGGTTTCAACGTTATTTCGTTACGCAGAAAATATTTATAGTTTTTGAAATCGTTATAATACATAACGTATATAAATTTAGAATTGCTGCTGCTGCTGCTGCTGCTGCTGTTAGTGAAAAATGATAGATTATATTTTTAAATAAATTTTTGTAAAATAATCAGCCATTTTTTATGGATGTAAATATCCCCAAACTTCTGCATTCGTCGTACATATATCACGAGGAAACGAGAAATAAACGAGTTTTCTCTCTCCTCCTAGGCTCTCTTCTCTTCTGTCTTCGACGTTGACCGACTGCGTTCACATCGGTCCTTTTTGTTCGGTTCCCACAATCTTTCCCACAGAATTCAGCAGCATTTCCGACTCGAATTTCTACGATCGATCGAATGACACCTCCTACGCTATGGTATTAATTCTTAGGACTTCATCGAGAAAAATATCGATCTCGTTCATCGAACTTTCTCTCATTCTCTTTCTCTTTCTATTTTTATCATTTATTTCCTTTTTTCGTAGGTAACTTTTTATCCTATTCTTTTCAACATCGCGAATGATATACATTCGTCAATGAAGAATACAGCACGCAAACAATGTTGCTACCACCACGAACATCCAAAAGTACACTTCGAATCGCATTAGGAACTTTCAGACCGAACGATAAATTTCTATTGCACGAAGACGATTTGTTTGGCTAGATGTATCGACCAATCGAGTTTTTCTACGTCTCCACCAAGTCCTTCTTTCGTTTTACCTATGACATTGACGTACAGTGTTTGTCTCTTACCATTATCATATGTACTTTTGTATTCTGTTCTCGAACAATGCTCGACATATACCTAAATCTACCCTTTAACTATTTGCATCTTAAATAATATCGATCATTTTATTTTGTTTTTTTTTTTATTATTTTCTTTAATCATCTTTATTAACGTGATACTTGTATATAATATAATAATTCGTTCGTTTGGTAAGATTATAAAATATAAGAAGTAATATTGCGTTAGAATAAGATATCATCGTATTTATTTCTTTCGCATTAATGTTCGTCGTCATTTTTCTTCTATAACATCAAGCCAAGAGAAGAAACACTTCATTTTGCTTTTAGTATATATCTCATATTGCCGGCCGTCTCTACTATTCAATACCCATTAATTTTAATGGGTGTTAGCGGTTAGTTTAACACGTTTCACATTCAACGGTACAATGGGTACTCCTACCGGAACAATTTCACGATAATAAACGTTAAACACCGTCGGATGAACGTAACACGTACAACATACACATACGATTGACGTAAGCCACTGGTGGTACCTTTACTATACAAACTTACCTTTATATAGTATTATTCTCCTAGACCATAGCTTTGCGTGACGTTGATCGATAAATACTTTTCGTGTTCCTCGCGTATCATTTTCAATAAGAAATCTTTCACCATAGCTTTGCGTGTTTTACACAAATCGAGAACTTGATACTCTAACTCCTTCGTCATCGTCATCGTCTTTTTCTCTTCTTAGTTTATGAGTTATCGATTTCTAATGCTTTAACTCCCTATCTCGGGATAATTACTCAACAAATATCTTACTATGAATGACGTTTTAATATCTTCGATTAGTTTTAGCAAAGGGATGAGGAACGCGTTTACGTTTGAAACATTTTTCAGGTTAATCCAAATTTAGATATCTTTGGGAAGTTCGACGAACCGTGTTTGATTTATCCCTA